CCCCCCACATCTTAGTGTCATCAACAGATTTGAACAGGGTGCTTTTTACCCCCTTGTCCAAGTCACTGATGAAGATGTTGAACAATGCGGGCCCGAGGACCGAGCCCTGGGGGACCCCACTGCCCACATACCTCCAGGTCGAACATGACCCATCCACCACCACCCTCTGGGTGCGGCCCTCCAGCCAGTTGGCGACACATCTGACTGTGTGGGTGTCAACACCACAGCCCCCCAGATTTGTTTCGGTTTCTTGCATTGTTTTTCACCATCACGCCCCTGCAGGCAACATAGAAGCCAACTGGCTTGTAGGTGATGTCACACGTGCCCAGGAAGTGAGAGGCCACGTGGATTAAAGTCCCTGGCTTGGAATCTTTGTCAAGGTGACTTGGAGCCTCCCAGAATCGCGGGCACAAATAAATGGTTTCGTCTCCAGATTCTAAATAAACCCACACATAAAGCTCCTTACTGGAAGGATCCTCCAGGAACTTGGCTTCCTCCAGCACCGAGATGAGGTCTCTCACCCGCTGCTCCATCAGGACTGTGTACCACTCCATCCAGAATTTGGGCTCGTTGATACCCCAGCAAATCAGGTCCTGCGGCAGCTCCATCAGCACACGGCCCTTCTTCTTCAAGGCATCTCTCAGGATCTCCAGCGCGCTCTGCCTTGCTGCTTCTGCAATTCTCGCCTTTTGTTTTGGTCGGGGGGGTGTAACTTTTGCCACCTCTGTTAGAAATGTGGCATTGCCTTTGGGTTTTTTTCTCTATGGCTTCCCAGGGACTCATTCTTGCACAGGTGTCACGCGCTCACACTTAAGTCCCAGGCAGCTTTCGAGCAAGACCCCTGGAAAAACAGACACATCTGACTTTCATTAATGACTTCCTCACCAGAGCAGCCTGCACCCTCCAGCCAGGCGGTAGGATAGAGCAGCATGCCTGAAGAGCTTATTATGGGCTTCCCCCTCAGCCGGGAGAAGGGAGCCTAGGAGAAGAGGCCAGGAAGACAGAGATGGGGTCCTTGGGTTGTGCTGCATCTGGCCAGCACACCGAGCCCCGGAAACTGCACAGGGGTGCAGGCGGCACCGGGGTGTCCCTGACCACAGCCAGGAGCCAGAGCGGCTCTTGCAGGCGGTAGGCGGGGGAGCCTGCCATGCAACTCCCAGGCACACGGATAGAACCTGTGCACACGTGTGGATCCCGGGCGCACGGGTCGATCCCAGGCACACGCAGGGATCCTGGTCACACACAGATTCCAGGCACACGGATAGAACCTGTGCACCCGTGCGGATCCCAGGTAACAGTATTGATCCTGGGTACACGTCGGGATCCCATGGCCGCTTACGGATCTCATGCACGCCTACAGATGCCTTGCACGCGTGCAAACCCCATGCCTGCGCACAGACCCCAGGCGCACACGTGCATCCCGCACACACCCGTGTGGAACCCGTGCAGATCCCTTGCACACGTGGATTCCTTGCACACAGGCGTCAGCCACACACCCCATGCGCATGCGCACAACCTCTCAGCGGGCCGCACCCGCTTTCCTCCTCCTACGCACCTCCGCTTCCTCGCCGCCTCCCGGAAGTGACGCGTGGCGGGGGCGGGGTGCCGGGCGGGGGCGAGGAAACGGAAGTAGAAGCGGCGCAGAGCTCCGCTGGCTCCGCAGCGCGTGCGGTGGGCTCCGGCGCGTGACAG